GAGACTTTGTTCATGAAAATAGTCCTTTTCCAACTCGCCTCTCAAACTGTCTCCCTGTTACTCATTTATTCACGTGTACATTCACTCGTTTAACAAACATATACTTATCAATCATCTGTAATATACAGGCCAATACAGTTCCCACCTATAAGGACCTTACAACATAGCAGAGTAGCCTGGCAGTCCCCTATGCCCAAATAAGCATTCAAATACAAAATATCTATTTAATATTGGCTTACAAATGAAGCTTAGTTGGCTGTAAGTACCATTATTTCACCAAATCTAAAACATAACTGGTTTTAATAAGTACCATTATGTTAAGTACAAATAAGAAAGAAAAAAAAAAGTTGGCAATTTATCATTAAATACCATCCATTATAAGGCACATTCCAATTTTATAAATGTAAAAAAACATGGGTTTAAAGCAACAAAATGCCTGTCCTTTGGTGAAACGAAATCATTCCCCTATACTTAAGACAAATTATTTAAAAAATCCCTAATTATGTGTCTCTGGGAGAAATACGAGATGAGAAAATCAAATCACTTTCTCATGACTACACTGGTACACTTAGAACAAGGCCAGTTTGTATTTCTGCAATAAAGATTTGGTTCCTTGATGCAATAGCTACAGATGCTATTATCAGAATCACCTCTGTTGAGTGTGCCCTTTTCCAAACCACACTTACAAATGTTTCCTTGATGCTGAAAACAGGCCAACACAACTTGGCAAATACATGGCAAAGGCAGATGGCACCTTTGGGCAGGGTAGTCACCTTTTCAACAAACCACTGAGACTGTCAAAAAGTCCCAGCTTCAAAAAAGGAGGCTCAAAAGTATCACACAGGAAGTTATTAGTGGAAAGGACACAGAACAGAGCCAGGAGACCTGGATTCTAGTACCCCTTCTGATATTAGCTAGGAAACGTAACCTTTCTGGGTTTTATTTCTTCATTCACCAAACAAAGGTGTAGGACCAGTTGGACTTTAAGTCTCAGTTTCTGGCATTAAAATACCATAATTCTGAGGTTCAAAAATACTGGCTCTTGTTCCCTATTTATTTTAGAAGACCCAACTTACAGGAACTTCTGGCTTAAATGACCTTGCATTGCTTTATGTTTCTTGAAAAACTTCACTATCTCAACTTCAAAGGTGCTTCTAAAATCCTTAAAAAGCTTTCTCATGGAATAAATCTTTCTCAGTTTTCATTTTATTTTCTCTCCCCACTTCAACGAGATTCTTTATCTTCTCTCACACGCTATAAAAACTGCTTCTTTGGCTCAGGAATTTCTAAACATTCAGGGCTGCACCCAACAGGACTCTGGACAGAATCTACAAGCTATGTTTCTGTATGCTTTTTGTTTCTAACTCAAATCAATATTGCAACACTTACGACCTGCAGCACATAATGTACCATCAATTGGAATTTAAAAGAACAAAGGGGAAAAATTCCCCAGTGTGTAGTGTTCTATTAACTTCAGAGTCTCAGTAATTTGTGACTGCCTAAAAAAAAGTCTGCAAAGTGATGTTGCTGTGGCTGCTCTGCAAATGGGCTTAGAAATGTGGCACGAGAAAGAGAAGAATTTGGGGATTTACAGGTTTTTATACATGAAACACGGTAGGCTGAAACCCTTTTAATATAGGAGAAGCCTTGGTTTACATCTCAAATCTCTCAGATCCTTAATAAGAAGTTAATCTCATGACTTGCATAATTGAAGACCACTCCAGCAACAGAAAGCTAAACAAGATGATTTCTTAAGACCTCCTGGTCCTGGAAGACTAGGAAGAGAGAATTTCCATTTCCATGGGAAGAGAACTGTTAGGTATTGCTAAAGGTAGATTAAAGAACCTGATCTTTTGGATACACTTTCTTCTCTAGACTCTCCTCCTACTAAGACAGCAGAGCTATGTAATGCTGGGATCTTTCAGAACTCATACTCACACGACCCCAGGAGAGAAGAACAGGTTGGCAACTCCTTCCTGGGCTTTCCCACCACAGTGGCTGTACTGGCTTCTCCTAAATCCTAATCCACACCCAATTCAAATTAAAGCAGTTTAGGCCAGCACCCAATACACCTCATTCCTGCTGCTCAAACACTGCTGACCGGAGTGATTGTTAAAAAAAAAACCAAACCTGTTGCCGTCGAGTCGATTCTGACTCATAGGGACACTACAGGACAGAGTAGAACTGCCCCAAAGGGTTTCCAAGCAGCAGCTGGTAGATTCAGACTGCTGACCTTTTTATGGTTAGCAGCCAAGCTCTTAATCTAATTGGGTATAACTAATCTCTTTTTCTCTCCTACATAAGGAATCCTCAATTGTCCTTTAAGTTATACAATAAAAATCTCCAGAAAACCTTTCCAACCAAAAGCAACTCTTTCCCATTTGTCAAAGTTATCCAGACAGCCCTCTGTCCTCCCAACAACAAAAAAAATCCTTTGCCATTGAGTCTATTCCAATTCATAGCAACCCTACAGGACAGAGTAAAACTGCCCCATGGGGTTTCCAAGGCTGTAATCTTTACAGAAGCAGATTGCCACATCTTTCTCCCTCTGAGAAAGATGCCATGGAGGAACTGCCGACCTTTGGGCTAGCAGCCAAGCTCTTAATCACTGCACCACCAGTGTTCTTTTCTGTCCTCAAGTGTACTGGTAATTAAATGTAGCTATTGAGTATACAACGTTATCCACAATTTGTTATGATCCACACAGTCGAATGCCATTGCATAGTCAATAAAACACAGGTAAACATCTTTCTGGGATTCTCTGCCTTCAGCCAAGATCCTGTACATAGACCAAGAGGCAGTTATTCAAACAGAACAAGGTGATACTGCATGGTTTAAAATCAAGAAAGGTGTGCTTCAGGGATGTATCCTTTCATCATACTTATTAAATCTGTATGCTAAGCAAATAATCAGAGAAGGTGGACCATATTAAGAAGAACACTGCATCAGGATTGGAGCCTCATTAACAACCTGTGATATGCAGATAACACAACCTTGCTTGCTTAAAGTGAAGAGGACTTAAAGCACTTACCGATGAAGATCAAAGACCACCGCCTTCAGTATAGATCCAGTATAGATTACAACTCAACATAAAACAAAAATTCTCACAACTGGACCAGTAAGCAACATCATGATAGATGGAGAAAAGACTGAAGTTGTCAAGGATTTCATTTTACTTGGATCCACAATCAACATCCATGGAAGCAGCAGTCAAGAAATCAAACGACGTATTGTATTGGGCAAACGTGCTACGAAAGACCTCTTTAGTGTTCAAAAGCAAAGATGTCACTTTGAGGACTAAGGTGCACCTGACCCAAGCCATGGGATTTTCAATCAACTCATATGCATGTGAAAGCTGGACAATGAATAAGGAAGACTGAAGAATTGATGCATTTGAATTATAGTGTTGGTGAAGAATACTGAATATACCATGGACTGCCAGAAGAACAAACAAATCTGCCTTGGAAGAAGTACAGACAGAACGCTCCTTAGAAGCAAGGATGGTGAGACTTTGTCTCACGTACTTTGGACATGTTATCAGGAGGGACAAGGTCCTGAACAAGGACATCATGCTTGGTAAAAGGTCAGTGAAAAAGAGGAAGACCCTCACGAGATGGACTGACACAGTGGCTGCAACAATGGGCTCAAACACAGCAACAATAGTGAGGATGGCGCAGGATCAGGCAGTGTTTCATTCTGTTGTATGTAGGGTCACTATGAGTCAGAACCAACTCAACAGCACATAAGAACAACACTGAGTACACATTCGTGGTACACTTATAGAATGTAATCCTCTCAAGGAAGGAATTAAGTCTCATCCAATATTCAGTACAAGCACCAGAATTAGGAGCAAACTGAAAGATAGGAGGGAAGACGAAAATTAACTTTAGTTAAGTATCTAATACATACCAGGTGCTTTATATAAACTGCTTATTCTGTACAGCGAACTCAGATCACCCTATACTTCATCATTTCTAAGATGCACATTTTTTCACTTTTTAACACCTTTTAAATCAGAATGACAACCAATGGTGTGTGTCAATTTTAAATAGCAACTATTTTCAATGTTAATGATAGGCAAAATAATGGTACAAATGCCAAGTGTTGGTGTTTCCAATTAATTAAAATATGTTATTATCCTTCCCACTCCATGGAATTTGAAATGAAAGTTGAGAAATAAATTAAGTGCCTACAATTAATACTCAAACTGTAAAGGACTAGCCAGACCTCAAACCCTGATGTGACTGATTCCAAAGTCTCTTTCAACTACAACCTACCTACAAACACAGACTTTGAACATAGCAATAATTTTCAATACTCAGCACTGCTCAAAGACTAGCAGGCTTGGGTGTTAAGTTTTCAGGAACTGAGGGGGCTCTCATGGCCTGGTGGAGACACTACAAATAAGTTGGTTAAAGTCCCAGCCAACCCTAAACTTCTAAGCGTCCTCTGGGCTATGCTAACTGAGTGCAGAACCCATCGTTCCTCTGACCCTACAATCCACAGGAAGGACAATTCTAAGTCTACTACCCTTCTGTACATGGGACAGCCTCACCCCCAAGTTTCCTACTCAAGAACTCTTCTCCTATCTCTCAGTACAGATATTCACGTTCCGAACTAATCTGAACCTGGATCACCTCACTCCTCAATGCTAAGCGGGGCCAGTCTAGAGGCCACCCCCCACCGTGCAACTCATCAAGTCTGCAGGGCTCCCAGACCCAAGACCTGGCTCAGCTACCACCACTCCCAACCCCCATCCACATCAGCCGCCTAAGCTTCGGGTGTAAGCCATGCTCCCCCCATCACACACATATACAGCAAAACTCCTTCCACTTGAGAGAGCCCCCGACCAGGATCTGGAGCCCCCGAGGTTCCGCGGCTCCCGGACGCCCTCCCATATGCCGCCCGGGTGGGCTCAGCCGCGGCCTGGGCCAGGACTTTAGCGTGGTGGGCCCAGGAATCCGCGGAGGCCAAAATGAGAAAGTCCCGGACAGACTCACCGAGGAAATAGCGTGTCAGGAGGCGGGAGGCGGCAAGGCCGCTGCTACCGGAGGCCATGATCACAGCGGCAGCACCTAAGACTGCGGTCATCCACCAATGACACTCCCAGGCCCCCCGGGGACCTGGCAGGGGCTGAGGCACGAGGAGAAGGAGGGTGACTAGAGAAGTCGCCTGAACGAATTTCCATACTCAGGGGACTCTTCATGAAGCAATGGGGCTCAAAGGTGGACGTGAAAAAAGCGGCTTAACACAGGCGGGGACAGCAGCTTGGTTCTTTCCCGGAAATGTGGATTTGATTAGACATTAATTATACCGGCAGCTAAGGGAAAACCCCACACGAGATTGGTTGGCGGTTAGCATTGTGGGAAATGTAGTTTGGTGGTCGCGACTTGTTTGTAGTTTAAATTGGGACATGTGGGAAACGGTGAAAGGAGATAGTCAACTCGAGGAGGTGAGGGGCAGGAGGAAAAAAGGAGTGAAGAAACTGAAGTGAGGTGCGAAGAGCAGTGCCAGAACTTTCCGTGTCCTTAGACCAATCCTCCTGTATCTTCACTTTCCTAGTTTGGCCTTTGGAAAGTATAATACTCTTCCCCACCTACCCTTGTGGGCCGCAGCAAGGACTCAGGAGGATTAAGGGTGGCAACGGTGAATGTGAGCTTCCAGTGAGGGGAAGGAGGAGACTAGAAAAACCAAAAGCTACTTTACCCAAAACCCATTGCTATGGAGTTGATTGGATTTGTACTCATAGCGACCGTATAGGACAGGGTAGAACTGCCCCATAGGGTTACCAAGGCTGTAAACCTTTATGGAAGCTGCCTTTCTCCAGCGGAGCGACAGGTGAGTTCGAATCACTGTAGCAGCCAAGTGCTTTACCCACTGCGCCACCAGGGCTTCTTTTAAAAGCTACCTTAAAAAACCAAATCCCTTGGCATCTAGTCGATTCTGACTCATAGCGACTCTATAGGACAGAGTTGAACTGCCCCAGAGGGTTTCCAAGGAGCAGCTGGTGGATTCCAACTGCCGACCGTTTGGTTAGCAGCAGAGCTCTTGACCACTGTACCACCAGGGTTTCCAAAAGCTACCTTACTGACAATTTCTTGGAATATGAATATTTTGCTTAAACAAACTATCACACAGCCTTTAACTAGCTCCGAGTGTATAAGTGCCTCCTCCCTAGGGATCCTGGAGGTCTGAAGTTCTGGGTCAAATGTGACTTTGCTCCCTGAATGGACAAACTGTTCACTCCTTTCATAAGTAGTTAAAAAGGGAACAATAGAGAGTTGTAGAGTCAAAGGGTAAATAAGAGGTAAAATAATCCCCCTCTGTGCCTCCAAGGGTGTTCCTGAGATGCCATCATCATTAACATCAGTAAAATTATAATTCCAATTTACTTAGGTAGTCATTAAAATTTGCACTGAGCTGTGTGATTTATGAGTGGGATTACCCATGGAGATTGCCCAATATTTCCTCTAAAACCCAGATATTGTCAGTCCAAGGTTGAACGTGACTACACACAAATCCCTCCCTAATCTAGTGGATCATGTACTTGTGATAACTGCATCCTTCAGAGTTAACTAGCACCAGTGGCTTCCAAATATGTCCAGTATGAAGACTCATTTTAAATAACGAAATTTTACCTAAGTCCCTACATGATAGTAGTTATAGTTTTAGTTCCATTTAATCAGTATTATGCATGATGACCAGAAAAAAGTTATCTCAGTATGATTTTAACAAACTTGTATTTCCACGAAGACAAGAGTTTTAGTTTAGTTTTGTTTGTTTTTGTCGTTTATCGATGTATCCCCAGAATGCCTGGCACAAGTAGAGAACACGTTATTTGTCGAACTAAATTGAATTTATATACAGGGGAAATAGTATTGAATCCACAGTGTTTGATGGATATTTCAACCCCTCAGTAATTACACCCTGATCCCAATTCTGTATCTCATAAGTGGGGGACAGTTGTACTAGACAGTTAACTATACCACTTATCTATATTTACAGATTGATTTTTGGAGTCAGACAAATCTGGATTCAAATTCCAACTCTGCCAAATGCTATGTGACCTCTGGGTCTTAGGTTTTCTCACTGAGATGAGAATGAAACTCCCTGTCTCTTAGGTATGTTGTGAGCAGTTAATACATTACAATGTAAAGCTCTTGGCACTTTATGAACATTCAGTAAATGCTAGTTATTATCATTAATGGAGCCCTGGTGGCACAGTGGTTAAGAGCTCAGCTGCTAACCAAAAGTTTGGTAGTTTGAATCCATCAGCTGCTCCTTGGAAACCCTATGGGGCAGTTCTACTCTGTTCAGTAGGGTCACTATTAGTCGGAATCAACAGCAGTGAGTTTGGTTTTGGTTTTTTATTATCATTAATTATAATTATTAATAATTACTTATTAATTAATCCTTAATCCCCCACTGGCCTATCAGTTTGTCGTACTGTGGTGGCTTGCATGTTACTCTGATGCTGGAAGCTATGCCTCAGGTATTTCAGAATACCAGCAGAGTCACCCATGGTGCACAGGTTTCAGCTGAGCTTCCAGACAAAGACAGACTAAGAAGAAGGACCTGGTTGTCTACTTCTGAAAATAATTAGCCAGTGAAAATCTTATGAAAAGTAGCAGAACATTGTCTGACATAGTGCCAGAAGATAAGCGCTCAGGTTGGAAGACTCTCAAAATACGACTGGGGAAGAGCTGCCCCCTCAAAGTAGAGTCTATCTTAATGACGTGGATGAAGTCAAGCTTTCAGGACTTTCATTTGCTGATGTGGCACGACTCAAAATAAGAAGTAGCAGCTGCAAATAGTCATTATTAATAGGAACATGGAATGTAAAAAAGTATGAATCTAGGAAAATTGGAAGTCATCAAAAATGAAATGGAACACATAAACATTGATATCCTAGGCTTAAGTGAGCTGAAATGGATTGGTATTGGCCATTTTGAACTGCACAATCATATGGTCTACTATGCCAGGTATGACAAATTGAAGAGGAATGGCATTGCATTCATCGTCAAAAAGAACATTTCAAGATCTATCCTGAAGTAAAATGCTGTCAGTGATAGGATAATGTCCATACGCCTACAAGGAAGACCAGTTAGTATGACTATTATTCAAATTTACACACCAACCACTAAGGCCAAAGATGAGAAAGATGAAGATTTTTACCAACTTCTGCAGTCTGAAATTGACCAAACATGCAATCAAGATGCATTGATAATTACTTTTGATTGGAATTCGAAAGTGGCAAATGAAGAAGAAGGAAGAGTGGTTGGAAAATATGGCCTTTGTGGTAGAAACAATGTCGGAGATCAAATGATAGAATTTTGCAAGACCAACGAATTATTCATCGCAAATACCTGTTTTCAACAACATAAATGGCGATTATACATGTGAACCTCGTTGGATGGAATACACAGGAATCAAATCGACTACATCTGTAGAAAGAGACAATGGAAAAGCTCAATATTAGCAATCAGAACAAGGCCAGGGGCCAACTGCAGGACAGACCATCAATTGCTCATATGGAAGTTCAAGTTGAAGCTGAAGAAAATTAGAACAAGTCTACGAGAGCCAAAGTATAACTTGAATGTATCCCACCTGAATTTGGAGACCATCTCAGGAATAGATTCAACGCATTGAACACTAATGAGTGAAGACCAGACTGGTTGTGGAATGACATCTAGGATATCATACATGAAGAAAGCAAGAAGTCATTAAAAGACAACAAAGAAAGAAAAGACCAAAATGGAAGTCAGAAGAGACTCTGAAACTTGCTCTTGAATGTCAAGTAGCTAAAGCAAATGGAAGAAATGATGAAGTAAAAGAGTTGAACAGAAGATTTCAAAGGGCAGCTTGAGACAATAAAGTATTATAATGACATGTGCAAAGACCTGGAGTTAGAAAACCAAAACGGAAGAACACACTCAGCATTTCTCAAGCTGAAAGAACTGAAGAAAAAATTCAAGCCTTGAGTTCCAAATTGAAGGATTCTATGGAAACCCTGGAGGCATAGTGGTTAAGTGCTACAGCTGCTAACCAAAAGGTTGGCAGTTCAAATCCACCAGGCGCTCCTTGGAAACTCTATGGGGAAGTTCTACTCTGTCCTATAGGTTCACTATGAGTCAGAATCAACTCGATGGCTGTGGGTTATGGGCAAAATATTAAATGATGCAGGAAGCATCAAAAGAAGATGGAAGGAATACACGGAGTCACTATACCAAAAATAATTGGTCGACAGTCAACCATTTCAGGAGGTAGCATATAATCAAGAACCGATGGTACCAAGGGAAGAAGTCCAAGCTGCACTGAAGGCATCGGCGAACAACAAGGCTCCAGGAATTGACAGAATACCAACTGAGATGTTTGAACAAAAGGATGCAGCACTGGAAGTGCTCACTCGTCTATGCCAAGAAATTTAGAAGACGACTACCTCGACAACCGACTGGAAGAGATCCATATTTGTGCCCATTCCAAAGAAAGATGATCCAACAGAATGCAGAAATTGTTGAACAATATCATTAATTTCACACACAAGTAAAATTTTTGCTGAAGATCATTTGAAAGTGGTTGCAACAGCACATCAATAGGGAATTGCCAGAAATTCAAGCTGGATTCAGAAGAGGACATGGAACAAGGGATATCATTGCTGATGTTAGATGTATCTTGACTGAAAGCAGAGAATACCAGAAAGGTGTTTACCTGTGTTTTATTGACTATGCAAAGGTATTCAACTGTGTAGATCATAACAAATTATGGATAACATTGGGAAGAATGGGAATTCCAGAGCATTTAATTGTGCTTATGAGGAACCTGCACATAGAACAAGAGGCAGTCCTTTGAACAGAACAAGGGGATACTGGGTTGTTTAAAATCAGGAATGTGTGCATTATGGTTGTATCCTTTCACCATACTTACTGAACCTGTATGCTGAGCAAATAAATCCAAGAAGCTGGACTATATGAAGAAGAACGGGGTATTAGGATTGGAGGAAGACTCATTAACAACCTGTGATATGCAGATGACACAACCTTGCTTGCTGAAGGCGAAGAAGACTTGAAGCACTTACTAACGAAGATCAAAGACGACAGCCTTCAGTAAGGATTACACCTCAACATAAAGGAAACAAAAATCCTGACAACTGGACCAGTAAGCAACATCATGGTAAATGGAGAAAAGATT